GCCTTTTTATCTGAGGACTACGAGGATGAACTAGCAGAGAGAGTGAGGACAAGAATTCAAGGTGATGGTGAAAGCATCCGTGACTTTGCTTATATGTATCGTTCTTTGTGTAAGAGGTGGAAGCCAAATATTCAAGAAGCAGAGGTACTGAAGATGATTTTCAGGAACATTAATCCACACATGGCAAGCCAGCTCCGTGGTAGAGTTTCTACAGTGGATGAACTGGTGAGACTGGGACAGCAACTAGAAAAAGACAGAACAAGTCAGTTTCATTATGATCAAAGAAAAAAACAGGTTGTGAAACAAAAGGAAAAAGACAAAGTGGATGTGTTGGATAACAATTCCCCACCAACAAAAAACAATACCCCACCTGTGGTTTACTGCTGGAGGTGTAAAGACAGCCATGCTCCGTATTCATGCTCAAATTATAATCAATCTAAGAAACCCAAACCCACATACCAGCCCCACTCCCAGCATCCCCATCCACAGCCCTTCCAGTCGGGAGGTGATCCAGGGCGTTCTTTAATAAACACAGTTACCCATACAGTAGAACCACCAACATGTATTTCCTCACATTTCTTTGTGCAGGGCCTACAGAAGTTTGACATCTCTGGAGAGGGCAGTGGCACTGCGGTATCTTGACAGTTGAAAATACCAGTAACCATAGGGACTTGGAGAGGAAATGCTGTTGTGGACGCTGGTTCAGCATATACTCTGCTCAGTGAACATGTATGGAATAATATCAAAACACCGAAAGACACACTTACCCCATGGACTGGAGGTCCCCTCTATCTGGCAGATGGAGAACCCAGAAAGCCACTTGGTTGGGTGGAACTGGAATTGAGCCTACAAGGTAAAATTTGGCTGGTGGCTATGATTATACTTGACGCCAGAACCCTGGCATTCCCTGCTTTGCTAGGTTTGGACTTTGTGTTCTTTACAGGTATGCAGCTTGATGTTGTCGGCAGAACATATTGGTTTCGTGGGGAGGAGGACAGACGGTTTTCATTCTGTACTGAGTCTCCTCTGCTAGGGGAGGGGGAGACCAGCAACTATGTTGCTTTCTTTTCTGTGGAAGCTCCATCGGTCACAGCACTGTCACCAACACAGACAGTCATTGAAGATATGGACCTAATTCTGAAGGCAGTCCAGGAGTCTCACCTGCATGAACACCAAAAGCCTCAATTAAGAAAACTGCTAAACAACAGTGCTGAAGTATGTACAACAAAGGTTGGACGCACAAAGATAATGAAGCATCAGATATTTCTCACCAATTCCCTGCCCATTCGACAGAAGCCATATCGGGTCTCTCCTCCTAAGCAGAAGGTGATGAAAGAACTCATTGAGGACATGTTAAAGGATGATATCATTGAACCCTCATATTCTGCTTGGGCCTCACCTGTTTCCCTGATTCCTCGGAAGGTTGGCAAGCCACGATTTCGTGTTGATTTCAGGAAGGTGAATGAGAATACAGTCACGGATGCCTACCCCATACCCACCATTCAAGAAATATTGGATAATCTTGCAGGTGCTGCGGTCTTCTCCTCACTTGACTTAAATAGTGGGTATTGGCAGGTGGAAATGGATCCAGAGGTGCGAGAAATTACAGCCTTTATCTGCCCTCTAGGTCTGTTCCAGTTTAAAGTTTTGCTATTTGGACTGAAGAATGCCCCTGCAACGTTCCAGAGGCTCATGGAGAGGGCACTTGGAGAACTGAAAGGTGTGATCTGTTTTTTGTATTTAGATGACATCATTATTTTCTCCTCTTCCTGGGAGCAACATTTCTATGATGTCCAAGCTGTCCTGGACAAACTTCACACAGCTGGTCTGTCTGTCAACATGAGGAAAATCAAATTATTTTGGACCTCTCTGAAATTTCTTGGCCATGTCGTTTCTGCCACTGGAGTTCATGTTGATCCAGACAAGACTGAAGCTGTGCACAACTTTCCATTACCCCCCAACCTGAAGGCTTTACAGAGGTTCTTGGGCATGGCCGGGTGGCATCATCGATTTATCCCCAACTTTTCGCAGATTGCGGAGCCACTTAATGCCTTGAGGAAGAAAGGAGCAAGATTTTGGTGGTCACCGGCATGCCAGACAGCTTTCGATGCCCTTAAGCAGCATCTGGTAAACCCACCTATCCTGGGCCATCCGAACTTCAATGCGCCATTTGTGGTGTACATCGATGCAAGTGAGATGGGTCTGGGAGCAGTACTGGTACAGAAGTTAGGCCACGGAACGGAGGAGGTCCTTGCTTTTGCCAGCCGTAGTCTGAACCCAGCGGAAAAGAATTATGCTGCCACCGAGTTGGAATGTTTGGCTGTGGTGTGGGCAGTAGAAAAGTGGAGAACCTATCTAGAAGGCCAGCTCTTCACTGTTGTTACGGATCATGCATCTCTTTTGTGGGTTTTTAAAACTACAAAACCCAGCACTCGACTCATCAGGTGGGCACTTTGGCTTCAAGAGTTCACTTTCACTGTGGAATATAGAAAGGGAAAGTACAAC